ACAAGAGGAACACAGGAAGCAATCACACTTACTCATTTAGCTGAAGAGATTCTGCAGGTCTCTGATGCACCAATTAATATCTATTGTGATAACAATGCTGTTATACAAACAATTACATTGGACAAACTCAAATATTCGGAACAAACAAAGCATTTAGATCATAAGAAAGATTTTATTAAATGCTACATTGAGTTAGAGTACATAAATGCAAAATACATACAGACAAACAATCAACAAGCAGATATATTAACTAAAGCACTACATGTACCACAAGTCAAACATCTTACCAGTTTACTCAGACTAGTAAGAGTTTGAAGGGGAGTATTATGAGATGATTAGTTCATCAACAGACAAACCACAAGACAATGACTTCATAATGTCTCAGTTAGAATACATACAATATAAGGATGAGAGACACTGAGCAGTCAATTGTCACCTCACCCCTTGTCTATGTGTGCCCCCCTTAAGTTCTCCCTCTCAACACTACCTGTACTCTTATTACTCTCAGAATTAGTGTGTCAATTTTGTCAACCTAGTCCTTCTACTCCTCCTAGTACTGACACACACTTAAGGATGACTGTTCACTTCTTGACTATATGTTTCAATCATTTTTTCCTCCCCTAAGTAGTAGGTGCTAGTATAACTAAAGAGTTGTTAAGTTCTCTTTATTATACACTCTAACTTTTATACTCCTTTTTACTCATACTACTAAACAACTCTTATTACCTCTAACACCCAGCCTACTGTTAGTCAAACAAGACCTTCTCAGTTGTCTTCTCCTTATCTGTAGTAACACTGTACTCACTAGACCTGTTAAGTATTATTCACACATTCCTTATAGTACTGTTTAATGTCTCAACTATGTGTTTTGGTCAACATCTCAGTTGTCTTCTCCTTATCTGTAGTAACACTATACTCACTACTTACTAGACCTGTTAGGTATCATTCACATGTTCCTAGTAGTGTGGTTTCACATCTTGACCATTGTGTACTCCTCATCCCTATCCTCATCTCTGTGTGTTTTCATTAACAAGTTGAAGCCTTCTTAAACTTGTGACTGTGTGTTCCTTATCTTCTGTCCTTACCCTTTTGTATTTCCCCTCCCCCCCCTTACTATAATCTTCCATTTTACCTCCCCCCCCCTTTACTATATCCTTTCCTTTGCCTCTCCATTAATTACTTCCCTACCCCCTCCTTTTATTTCTTCAGAGTAGGGAAGAGTGTAACCTCTGAGGTTATACACATGACTTTAGTTAAGTATATAAAGGGCTATTTGTAGACACTTAGAGATTATCTTTGTACTTACTCCTGTACTTAGGTCAACCTCTCTAATCCCAGGTCTTTGCCTGTTCTGTGTTCTTGAGTGAGGCTCCAGCCTTTACATAAGTAAACATTTCCAATATTAAACAATGCTACATATGTCTAATTGTTTCATAAACATTCTCCAACTTTGTGTATTAGCACTTTATCAGCAAAGTAGGTACCCTGGTGTATTAGATACTTCCTCAACCGATTGGTATCAGATAGGAGCATTTTGGTCTTCCTCTACACACTTCTTGTTAGCAATACAGGGTTTAGTCTTAGACTTCTTATTTATAATACTTTTCTAGTAAATTGTGAGATTATTAATTTATTTATTGGCTTATTTGGAAAATAATTGATAGACCGAGACCTTAGCTGGTGTCGGCATTTTTGCGGAGGGTCAGCCGAGAACCCCCGCAGGCCTTGGCAATCATCTCATGGTAAATATTACACTTTCATATTTTCAGTGCATTCTAATGCAATACAGGACCGTCCCTCTTATACACGGTGCAATTCTACTTTACCTGGCCCTCTTCAAGGCAGCGGAATACTGGAGAATGTCGTTTGGCTTCAAAGGCTTCCATCTTGTCAGAGTCGTCATTGAAGACCAGGTTATATACTATGGATTGTAAGTAGACCACAAATGCGCACGCATTTATCTAAATAAAGTCGTTGTAGTGTGATACTTTGCTGTGTGCTAAACATAGTGGAAATTTCAGTTATTTTCGTCAATGAGTTTTCTGCCGCCGTTCTAGCAGCAGCTGGCAGTCCAATCCTTGTCTGCGTCCTTGGAGCACACCTTCTTATCAATCTAAAAGAGGCAGGCGAGCTCGGGGTTAACGAAGGAACTAACTACAGATCGAGGACTGTCAGCGACATCCGATTCGCCGAAGGTATTTCTGCTCATCTTTCTGTCGTATGCCCGACTGATACGTTTCAGGCGCTCCGGCAGCTGCGACCTCGAACGGAGACGGAACAAGCAGTGTTTAGCGAGTCTCGCTTGCCTCCCACTCTAGGACGGATGCCTTCTGGAAATGCCCTTTTTGGCTTACATGCTATGTTGCCTATTTTCGACGGTTGCATTCCCAATGTATTGTGTAGCTTGTTTGTTTTGCGGTCTTATTGACTAGCTGTCGTTTCTTGATGTCTTGATTGTTATTCATTCTGAATGCTAATAATAGTTGGTCCTGTGGGCCACGGCCTGAGATGAGGATTCGAACTCCAACGTGAGTAAGACTTGTGCATCATGAGTGTGCGAGAATCCACTGCAGGCAAGGGATAGTGAATGTGTCAGTTCAAAAGTTGAACGATCAGAAGGTCTGTTCTCCATGACCAGTAATGCAAAGGCGCAGTGAAGGAGGAATAGCATTGATGAACATGAGAGGCAAAACACTGAGTGCTGGAAAGCGAAGCAGCCAGCTTATAATGGCAAAGAGGATAATAAATATTCATATTCGTACTTTGTGTTTATAGGGGTAGGTATCCGAATATCCGGAGATGCCATTTTATTATTATTACGATAACAAAGTTGGTGAAAATGTACTGTTCTGAATTTTCCGTTAGGACAAACTAGGTCATGCTGGCCGTCGTCGTTCGAGGATGTCATAATGCCCGGGTCTGTGAGAGGTTAGTCAGTCATATGAGAATGAACAAAAAATACGCGCGCAAAAATAAGGGATTTAGTGATGGATAGCGCTATACAGAGCACAGAAGTAATTCTCCCAAGCCAGAAAGGCACCAGGGAAAAGAGAGGGCGAAGGACCATAAGTGGAAAACAAAAAGAGGTGAACGAGGATATTAAGGAAAGGATGGGGAGGAGAGGTTATATACCCAACATAAAAGAAAAATACGCACCTATACAGCAAAACAGGTGGATCGACGAAATCATCTGGTGGCATGTTATGAAACTCCACAAAGCTTACGGATCCATCAGGGTCGTGTCCGTCAAGATAAGCAACTTCGACGTTGAGTTTTAGGATCTTGGTGAGCGCAGTTATCTGGACATGGTCTGCAAGACAGGTCGGATCGTTTCAAGTCATGAATCGGAAGATCGGGAGTTCACGTCAATATCAAGCCAAATGAAATAAATCGAAGAACGGGAGAGACAGTGGGATAATCAAAGTTAGTTTTCGTTTAGCTGTGAGAAACCGGCAGAGAGACGGGATACATACCAGCCTCTTTCCCACTCGCCTCGACGTAACGTTCGCAGAACTCTTGTGGAGTGATTTCTGCACCCGTTTCTGGATGTAAGAGAAATGGCGCGTATGAAATAGGGTCAGTACGGATAACAGCGGATGTAAGAAGTCGGAGGAACACGACAATGCAGTTAGACACTAATTGGGCAACAACGTAACAGCAATCAGTCAAAATGCATTGGAAGTACCACAAGAATCGACGTGCCTTCAGCGTCCTGAAATGCCTCGAGAAGTATACCAGGTGTAAGTGTTGAGCCATCTGGTTCGGGTACGACTATTTGGCGAATGAGTGAGATAAGGACGTCGTAGAAATCCTCATACACGAGCTCCTGGAAGCCAGCAGCTTTGAGTAGTAACAACTTTTCGTCAAGCATAGACAGTGACTTGGCAACATCTAATGTTTGCTTTGGAGAGTTCATCAATCGCTCTACCCACGCAAATGCGAGGGCTTTATTGAAAGAAATGCACGTAGATGCATTACATGTTGTTGGTATATGATGAACAGGACGCATGAATCCAGTCCAGTTTTTTTTAAAAAAAGCAAAACTTCAGTAAATGCTCAAGAAAACGAGAGGTGAACGTACGCACACCGATAAAAACAATCTCCATCGCCACGTGTTCTTCTTATCCCTCCAAATCCTTGACTCAATAGGTAGTCTATCTGTTTTACGAATGATCCCGAACCATTCTCGTATTCGGTACGTAGCGCGGAGAGTGGCATGCTATCTGAGATCAATGGGCGTTCCGATGCAGATTCATCGAGTATATTCTAATACGACGGATCGTGATTGGACTCCTTAGTCTCTAGACACAGGACTAATGTGGAGCATTCACACCTGCGTGAGCTGCGAGACCTCAAGTGGACTCAATGAGGACATATCTAAGCAATATTGCCTGTCATTCAACGTCATAAAGCACGTGGCCAACGCGAATACGCACCCAACGATGCTCCATCTCCAGCTTGAGGTTGTAAACTCCCATCGGTAGGTACGCCTCCAGATGCTAAAGTGCGATTCTAATCAGTCCAAGCAGCATATAGACAAGTTGTTTTTAGGACGTGGCGCTAACATGTATCCTTCGGAGGAGGTTGAGGTGCACCCGACATATTCACGGCCAACACGCTTTGGGAAGACTGGTTGAAGGAAAATAAGAAGAGGAAAGGTTGTAATGATTGAGACGATGGGAAGAGGAAAGAAGGAGAAAGGGCTCTCGAATGTGGACGCGTCAAACCATGACGATCAGCATGCGCGAATCAGGAGCTCAAAGTAGTATGCATACACAGCCTGCTCGCCACACACCTTCATCACATATTTAAGTATTGGCGTTCGCAGGTGCGGTGCTTAAGAGCAAAATCTAGGCATTCCTGCCCGGCCTACCAGCTCGTTATCCTCTGAGCTGAGAGTTACGATCGGATGAATATCACAGTAACAATTACTACAGTCTCGTTATTTAGACTCTAGAGATGTCATGATTTTAATGTTATTAGTAAATTTCTCTCAACTAAGAAATTCGTGTCAAATTTCTGAATATGTTTATCTGTCCTAAATTATTCTAAGGAGTTATATGCTAGTACCTTCATTTTCTTATCAATTTATTTGCTCAGTCCCATTTTTTTTCCAGATTCAAGAGTTTAGTGTCTGTGCTAGGTAATCTATGTCAAGACATTTAGTGTAGCTACTAGGTTGGTGAATAAGTAACTAGGTTCTCAGTTGCATACTGAAGTTGTTGTTCCATATTTTTATAAGCTTTTACAGGATCTTTATGCTCAGCTATAAAATCAGGATTGTCCCAGTACTTCTTGTTCCCTTGTCTAACTATTAATAAAACAATTATTATTGTTGCTTAATTATCACTACAATATAGAGTTAGATTTACATACCTACAATTCTTGTAAATCGTTTAAATGGGTCATTATCTGGTGTAACTGTAGACTCTTTTAAATGGAGACCCTTCTCCTCCTGTCTTGTAGCTTTTCTATCTAAAGCACCTTATGTCTTAGAGGATATTCTTTAGCATGTATCTCCAACAAGGAAGAAACATACAATCATCTAGTTGCTCCCCAACCCGACTTCTAACAGTACTAATATCCTGATCACTCATTATTTGTGTCCTGTACTTGTGATTTGTGCAAAGTTATTTGTAGGTTAGAATAGTACTACAAAGTCGTGGCTGCCTGTAGTTGATAGAGAGTTTTTTCTCGAAGTTTTCAGGCAGTTTTATACCAGTCTAGACTGCTCTTGCAAGATTTTAGTAAAACAAAGTAGTGTTGCTGTTACATTACACTACTATCAGATACAAGCAGTAGTGTAATGCATAACCATTTGCAAAAAGTGCTAAATCTCGATCTAGCATATATACTACTAGCAGAACTTTATAAGAGTTAACTATAACCGGCTCTATAGGGTTGTATAAGTAGAGAGTTTGCTTGCTCAGGTGCTAAATCTATTTGTAATTAACTAATGTCAGTAGTGCTAGCATTGTATACGTTTCAGATCACTTCATTTGCAAGTGTATTGATTCAAAGAAGCTAAGCTCCTGAGTAAATTTTGCATCATAGTGTGAGCACCCCAATTTGCATTATTTCACATTATCTCAGACTAGCAAAACAGACCCCAGTATGAATGAGTCAATTTTTCCGTTTCTCGGTTCATAACATACTTTAACATCGAGTGTTACTTTGTTTACCAGGGAGGGTTAACAATAAACTCGCTGTACTTGTATTCCAGATCCCAGTGGTTGCTTAGTTATATAAGCTTACAAATGCAATGTAGAAGGTGCATAATGTCTGTATACATCCTGTCTATTTGTGGATGGAAGCAAAGTAACGCAGGCGCTTACAATATCAGACTGCTAGATGACTCTAGGGTAGCTAATAGTGCAAAATGGCACGTGCTGAGATGTGTTTGCTAAGTAACAGAGTACTGACACTATACAGTTCGCTTGCAGAACTCCAACTACGCCAAATCCACATGTGGCGGACTCGAGACACCTCTATGCTAAATCAGATAGTAACTTAGCACATAATGGCAAGTGGTACTCCTGTGAGGCTTAGAGTAGATACGACAGCAATTGAGCATCCGATTCTGATGCACCATTGTCTTTAGCAGTTACCAATGGAATCAAACCGACTGACTCCGAAAGTCTTGACGCTGGCAGAGAGGGAGCAAGAGCACGTTAGCGCACTCTTGAAGCCGAAGCAGACTACGCAGTGAATACGTATTACACAAAGCGAAAGAAAATACCAGTTGAACTGAAATACGGCTTGTGCCACACTTAAATGTCGATGATGTCTAAACGATAATTCTTCTATATCTAGTATACAGCCCGGCACTAAACTGTGAACTCAAACTTTGTATACGCTGGGTTGTCGTTTCCAGTCGCTGTCTGCTGCCGCCTAGTAACCAAAAGATGATTAGCACGTACATTCAGTCACTCTTTGCATAATCGGAGGAGTCGATAGAAGTCTGCGGCCAGGTAGAGGCTCCCTGCCACAAGAACGAGGTTCTCTTCCACGTCGTCGCCACTACCATCCAATCCGTCTCGATGCTTTCGCTCGTTCAGTGAACACTCGGCGGCCCATAGGAGTGCATCTTGCAGTTCCTGCGTAGGGTTACCGTCATTTGCTGCATCCGCTTCTGGCGGTGTCCAGAGTTCGAGATTGTCTGCATTCGGGAAGGACTTTTGTACCGCTTCAGAGAGCGCAGTGGGCGCCACTGGGCGTACCCAAGGCATTCCTTCTGGTAGCGAGAAGCGCGTGAACGCAATTCGTACACTTAGGTTCACTGAAGGCCATAATTCATCGGGCTGCGAGCGTTGTTGACCAATGAATCGTACCAGCAGCGGGACAAGGACCGACTCCGGAGTCTTTGGCGGGGAATGCGAGAGTGCAAGAATAATTGCCAAGCGCACGCGTTTTATCTTTCTACTACCACCAGTCCGAGAATATGAAGCACTAAGGGAGGACAGAAGAGAAGAGACGTATGCGGAAAGAGTTCGAGAAGCGGCTTCGTTGTGTGCGCCATCCACGACGACAGGAAGTGGCCATTGATGAATTCTGTCTGGTTGTTGAACCGCAGAACGAGATGATTCCAGTTCAGCATGAGAAGGGTTATGATACAGATGGTATGAAAGACGACCCGGCCAAGTACATTCGCGTATTGCAGCACGAATAGTTCTTTCGTCCATTTCTGACAAGCGGTCAAATATAAAGGCATTTGCTCCCCGGTCAGAAGAGAACGATCCTTCAAAACCGTTGACGGCTCCTATTCGCAGTAGATGAAAGACACACAGGGCAGCGCCGAGGTTTCCTAGCTGGTGTGCACCATGTAGAGGAAGTAGCACTCGATATTTTGCCGCTGTCTCCGATTTTGAATCAGATAGCCTCTCCTCTTGAGACTCTCCCCGACATGATAGTAACGAAAGGACCGCTTTTACTGGTCGTGGCGATGGCGGTACGAAAGGATGCAATGAAAACGGCGGAGGTAGCGGACCATCAATTTCTTCATCCCATTCCCTATCCATCGCAACCGGAGCCAACACTAACGGAGCCATCTTCTGTCTTGCGATTTCTTGTATAACACCAGTTATACGTTCATGGTTCTGGGTAGAGAGGACAATGGGTCGTCCCTTTCTTATAATACCCGCTTTCTCCTTCGCAATGTCTTCCACTGTCGGGCCAAGGAAAGCTTGATGGTCAAGGTCAATGGCAGTAATTACTGAAGCAAGAATGCACATATCCGGGATAACGTTTGTCGCGTCAAGTCTTCCTCCCATACCCACTTCAAGCAGAGTAATATCCACTTTACTCCGTTCAAATATGAGCAACGCACATATCGTCAGTACCTCGAAGCTACTCGCGTTAATCGCATATTCCTCGTTCTTCCTTCGCACCTCATCCATAACATCTTCGAAGTCTTGACGTGGTACGGGGATGCCATTGAGCGAGATACTGTCAGACGGATGCAAGAGATGCGGACTGTTAAACCGCCCAACAGAAAGACCAGCATGGCGTAAGAGCGATGTTAAAAGCGCAGAGACGCTTCCTTTACCATTCGTGCCTGCGATATGCACTGTTGGGCGTGTGTATGACTCAAATTTGGAGAGTAAAGCCTCGATTCTGTGTAGCGAAAGGTCTACGGACATGGGTGAAACTTGAAAATGTCCGAGTCATCAAGTTTGAGATTATCCATATAGTCAAAACGTCGATCATGTGGTGATCGTTAAAGGTTCGGCATATTCCGCAAACAATCCACAATACTCAAGTACTGCACGACTGCCTTCGTCGTTTCTTTATAAGATACCAGTAAATGGCCATATTTAGAGAGGATCCAGTTGAATTATTATATTTACGTTAAAATAGGAGACACGAGGAGATTGTTTTGCGAATTTAGTATATTGGCAAAGACTTGGATATAGAGTATATATGTAGAAAGTAGTATCATAGAATAAATAAGTGGGAATCAACCACGAAATGCGTACAGAAAGCAGATCAGCCAGTTAGAGGTAAAAGAGAATGGCAAGCAACCTCCTTTATACTACTCAAGAGGAAGGGGACTTGTGTCTTCAGACACAAACATGCCTTTACTGGTTAATACTGTCAGTATTGTCTTGATACAAACAATAGGAGAGAATCTAGTTTGTTCAAACTCGCTTTCTGCATCCCTAGACATTGTTCCAAGATTACGAAGTCTGAGTATAATTCTTGCAGTCAGAAGGGCATGTATGATGCAAGTAATACTAGAAAGGACTTTAGCTTATATTATGTTTTCTTTAAGGAATGAATATGTGAAAGACTGACTTTGCAAATGTTGTTGAGAAATAACCCTGTGCTACAAAGTTAAAGTTCAGTTCAATTGAAGTAGCTTTCAATGACCTACAGGTAGCTTCAAGATTACAAGAAAGTTTGCAAGTAATAAACCTGTATTAGTACTTGTGTTGAGTTTTAACAAGAGTAAAGAGAATACCTTGTACATACCAAAAAGGCATACATAAAAGAGTGATCCTGTATTACTTTCAGTGCCCTGATTATAAATAGAATTGTGCTACTTACTATTGTAATATATTGTCTTGTACACACATATATGACCCTGGATTCAGACTTTAGTTAGATATAGTCAGTATATTAAGGATAGAACTGTAGAGTTAAATGTATTAATTCATACAATTTTAAATAGCCTTTATAATCAGTAGTACCAACATACCTTAAGATAAACTCCTTTCTAAGAATTCTTGCTTGCCAGAGTAAATTAAGAAAATAGACATACTAGTGTCAAATAATATAAGGAGAAGCTAGTTGATAGTAATAATTGTATTAATTTTAACAATCACACAGTCATGAATATTGTTAGGTACAGCTAGTGTATTGAAAGATTTAGTTTAGCTTGTCAGTTAAGTCTAATAACTACTTACTTTCTATTGTGCCTATAGTAATACTTAGGATAGTCACCAAACAAACAATTGCTAATATATACTATATAGAAAGTATAATTATAATGGCTCATAATCTGTTCCAGACAGTCTATGTTCTAAAACAAAGGATAGCTATTAAATAAGTTAATAGTATGTAAGTGTTAGGAATTGTAAAATACAGTAACTAAGTTTGGAAAAAGCTTAACTCAAGACTTGGAACCAAGTAGTTTATATACAAAACTCTATTAGTTACAAGTCTAGAGATTGGCCAGATCAACTAGGCTACCTTTGTTGTCCTGCTTAGTAAGAACTCCAGCTCAGTATTATTAACCTTTAATCATTACTAATGGGTGATCAATCTATTAGCAGAGAGAGGGGACAAGAAGGAGTAAGTACTAAGTCAGTTAGGAAAAGGTAACAAAACCTGTAAACAAGGTCTTTATCTCTCTAAGGTTAAACACATACTCTAGCACAGTATTACTTGATAACCTCAACTAAAGACAAGTCATTTAGAATGCTTGTATAGAGAGGGGATCTGGAAAGAGTATAGTGTTCAGAGTAAGAAGTATAAAGGAAAAGACTAAGAGAAAACCTAAAGAGATAAAAGGAAAATATTATACTTACTTGAGGAGAAACTATATAACTAGCTAGGAACTCTTTGTACAAAAACAAAGGACTATTAAAGCTAGTAAAGAGCCAGAGCCAATACTCTAAAGCTCTATACTTAAGGAGGACTAGTACTAGTATGAAGGAAAGGGAACTAAGAGCTCTAAGGAGAGACTATAGGAAAGTAGTCTCCTTTATACACTTTACTCATACAGATGGGAAAGTAATAAAGTCATAAATATAAGGACTATATAAGGACAACATGAGGAATACATGAGACAATCTAGAACTTTGGTTGTAAGTTCTATAATTGAATACAGAAGTACAAAGATAAGACTAAAAGTTAATAAGGATAATTGTCTCCTAAACTAAGTCTATTAAAGAAGACTTAGGGAAAGATTCAGAACATTAGTTGTCAGTTCTAGAGGGTATACAAGACAGTCTAGAACTTTGGTTGTAAGTTCTAAAGGTAGTACAAAAGTATAGCCTTTTATATTACAGAAGTTATAAGGAGTTATTAGAAGTTATAATACTCTACCTTATAAGAAAGTGTATTACAAACTAGTGTACAGGAAGTACAGGTTGAGTCAGACAGAGTTATAAGAAGACTATAGAACAATAGAAAGCTCTACTTTA